GAGAGAGAGAGAGAGAGAGAGAGAGAGAGAGAGAGGGAGAGTTTGCATAGAACAATAACTAAAAGTACAGACTCTGGGGCCAGATTATCTGAAGTGAAATCTCAGCTCTGCTGTGTCCTTGCTTTCATGACTTTGGGCAACTTGTTTATTTTCCTTGCAAGTCAGTTTCTTATCTACCTTTAAGAATAGTAATGCATGTACTTAATAGAGTTTTGTGAAAATTCAGAACAATGACTGGCAAGTAGTAAACATTATATAAGCACTAGCTATTATTACTAGTAGTGAAGACAAAATTATTGCTGGGAAGAACAATGTAAAATTATTTCTTTATAAAGTAAAGAAATAATTTTTGAACCAATAAAACTAGGAACATAAAATACTATATGATGGGGCTGGGCATTTAGCTCAGCAGCACAGTGCCTGCCTCGCAAGCACAAGGTCGTGAGTTCGATTCCTGGTACTGGAAAAAAACAAACAAACAAAAAATACTATATTACATTTTCCCCCAAAATTAAAAGCTTCATGTGGCTGTTTGGGGATTCAGAGAGTTATGTAACAGAACACCTATGCTCCTACAACTACATCAGGATGCAAAACTTGCTAATAGTTGTGCTAGTAAACAGAGAATGGGTACAACTTTGGTGCTAAAAGAGTTTGTGCTAGGGTAAATCCAAACACAGAAATAAATGGGTTTTAAGTGGACAAAGCTGTGATCTTGTTGATCCATTCCTATTCTAACAAGGGAATTCTGCTTCAAACTACTCTATTGAAAGAGGAAAAAGAAATAGCTTGCTCCTCAGTCTAATTAGAATCAGTAACTTTTAACTCCAACAATAAAAAAACCATTAGACACATTTCTGAAGGAAATCACTCCAAACTTTTGTGCCAAAAAAGCTAAGCCCTGAATTGGTAGGACTTTTAGTAGCAAGTTGAAAGAGCAGTAGATGGACATAGGAGATGGATGTTGTCTGGTTGTAGCTTTTTGCTAAAGATTGTTAGAAAGATGACATGCGAGGAGGTACATAATTTAAAGGGTGGTGGAATTCTTTGAAATCTAACTTTCTAAATGACAACTGAAACTATCTGAAACCCAAAGCCATGTGATAAACTCCATTCATTTGTTCACTTAGTTACCATTCCACACATACAAATGATTTTAAAAATTTAACCATTTAATTCAGAGGATGCTGTGTTAATGCTATAAGGAAAAAGTTAAAATGTAATCTTAGCTCCAGGTATTCATGCACCTGTGGGGAAGACACAGATTCTGAGATTTAGGTTTCTTACTTGTGAAATGAGATAATATTATTGTACTATTTATCTCAAATGTGGTTGTGAACTTAAAGAGGCTTATTTAGGAGAAAACACTGTGGAATTTTTATGGAAATTATAATGTATGATTTAAGTATGAAGTACTAGCTATATTCTATGTCTATCTATCTGAGACTTGTCCAAAAATTCTGACCAAGTATTATGACTTTTAATTTGGTTGGGACAAATAATTTTTTTAAATGATGTAGCAAGTGCAGAAAAGTAAAAGTTATTAAATATTAGAATGATAGAATATAAGTCCTACACTTAAACATTGTATGGCTCTGGTCTAATGATGTCTGTGCAGACTGGAAAATTAGCCTTCATCTGGGATTGTCATTTCGATACAAAGACATTGACTTTTTACAAAGCCTAACTAAACTGATGCAAGTGACTCGTTAGTTCTTAACTAACAGTTAATCCTAAATTTCTGACACCTTGTTTTTCCAGTTTTATAATGTAAACTGTGTTGGTCCAATTTTACAGCAATATTAGGAACAAAAATAATGGTAAAAACTATATACTCCTACTTTTAATAAAATAAATTGCAGATTAACTTCTGATTCTGATGTTTAGTACAGGGTAAGTGAGCTGATCATTATTTTTATTATTATATTAGGTCTCAGAATTGAAACACCTTCAGTGCCTGGAAGAAGAACTCAAACCCCTGGAGGAAGTGCTAAATTTAGCTGAACCCAAAAGCTTACCCTGGGTAGATACAAAAGTTTTCATCAGTAATATCAATATAACAGTTCTGAATCTACAGGTAAAACATTACTTTTATTTGATGCCCTGGAGGTGGGAGGAAAGTAAGTGGGGGGGGGGAGTACTGCATTTTAAAGTGGTATAACATTTTTGGTATCAGTGGAAGTATTCATGCAGTTAATTAGCCAACATTCAAAAATCCAGCATGGGGGCTGGGGATTTAGCTCAGCGGCAAAAGCGCCTGCCTGGCAAGCGCAAGGTCGTGAGTTCGGTTCCCGGTACCGGAGAAAAACCAAAAAAAAAAAAAAAAAAAAAAAAAAAAAAAAAATCCAGCATGAGTCTGAAGCATTTGCAATGTTAGATGACACAATTTATAGCTTTCTCTTTTCAAGAGTACAAATTGCCAAGTACAAAATTCATGAGTTAACACGCATACAAATAAGCAGTATAATTTTAATTACAATAGTAGAAGCAAGTTTCTAAAAGTATGTAACTCTAGTTGTTTTCAAATATGAGGCAGTTTATTAGTGGACTGTTTCAATGTAAATTCTTTAAATAATACATTGAAAGCAGTGTCATCTAGACATTGGCAGACTAGGTTCCTTATCTATGTCAAACCGTTTGCTCTAAAAATTACTCAGTAACATCAGAAAACTTACTCTAATAATATAAACTTAAAATAAAATTAGGTAAAAATAAGAAAACGTGTTTCAAATCCCAATACCTTTTAAAATTTAAATACCACAAAGAGATTACAATGTCCAAATATGTATATGGGTATATCATACTGCAACAGTTTTATTTAATGGAAATCCTTTTAAAAGGAATAATTTACATCATATGACTTGCAAGGAATTATTTAAAATTTGAGAAAGCCATCCCATATATCTCAGTCTATATCAAAATATTTCCTTTCCAGCTTGTTAGCTAGAGGCAGAGTTGACATAGCCCCCTTTAGCAGAAGAGGTTAATTTCTATAGGATTAATCCACAGCACAAAATTTCTAATGCTTAGTCTTTTAAAGTTGGGAACCCCACCTGCATTGATACTAGGGTGGAGTGGAGTGAAATGTCTGTTTATGACGAAGTCCTTCACATAAATTTCCCCCAAACAGAACTTTATTCTAATTTACTCCAGTGAAACACAAAGAGGGTCACAGAAATTGAATAGTAGCAGTTTCTTAATCAGGGTTTGAAAAAGAACAATAGTACATATTACTTCATATATATAACCTATATCAGTACAGATATAGATGTGGATACATGTCCAGAAAGAGGGGAAACAACTTCTTTGCATACAATATTTAATAAAATATTTGTCTAGAACTACTTTCACTCAGTTGCTTATTTGTAGCCAATTCACAAAAAAATCTTGTATTCATTGACAAGGGAATTAACAAATGAGAAAATCCTACCTTGTATGTTACTATCAGTTGGTATCATAATAAATATAATTTTGGCAGAGCAGTTTGATAATTTCAAGAAAATGTGAATGATTAATATATTTAACACACTTAAAAATAGAAATCAGAATCCTGTAAGACTTGGGTTAAGAATAAATGTATGTAGAAAATTACTACAAACTTTAAAAATATGAAATTTTCTTTTATAGGGATCTGAACCAGCATTCATATGTGAATCAGATGACGGAGTAGACATTATAGAATTTTTGAAGAGATGGATTACTTTTTGTCAGAAAATTATCTCAAGACTGACTTGATTATCATGTGCCTCCCATTTAAAACATATAAGGCTTTCTATTTATTTAAATATTTAAATTTTATATTTATTTTTGAATGTATGGTTTGGTACCTTTTGTGACTAGTATTCTTAGTCTTCAGATCATAAATATGGATCTTTTAAGATTCTTTTTGTAAGCCCTAAGGGCTTTACAATGGTTTCATTTAAACTATTTATTGGAAAGTATTTATTATTATATTGAATTTTAAATATATGTCTGTAGATTAGTTAAGAACAATATTTAATAAAATTCTTAATTGTAAACAAGACTGGATATTTGTTATTTTGGGTACAGCACAGAAATAAGCCACAGAATATTTCTGAATTATTTACATACCTATATGATGCTAAAGTGCTTACAATAATCACTTTTCTCCTAGACAAAATGTAGACTAGAGAAAGTAAACTTTTCAGAGCTGATTAGAAACTTAGTTCTTCCTTGAGAAATACTTATTAGATGATAATATTTTCCTTTTCCTTAAATTCAAACAAAAGTCCAAACACAAACATACTCCAAACTCTTTGTCTTAATTTTTTTGTATGTTACCATAACAAAAGCCCTGAGGGTGGGTACTTGATACTGAAAATAAGTTTATTTAGCTCCTGGTTCTGGAAACTCAAGAGCGTGCTGCCAGCATCTCATGAAGTCCTCATGGCAGATGGCATCACAGTGGTGGGAGCATGTGTAAAAGATTAATTTTAGTGGGGATGCCAGGCTCACTCACAACACATTCTTGCAGCAATGAATCTAGTCCCACAAAATCTGACCCACTGTCTGAGACAGCATGAATGCAACCATGAGGGTGGGGCCCATGAAGTAATTACTTTCCACTACTCCCTGCCTCTTACGTGTTCCATCATCTCAATGCAGCCTATCACACTGAGGATCAAATTTCTAGCAGATGAAAATTTGGAGGACAAACCATATTCAAAAACAGCACTCTTTACTGAACTGGTGTATCAGGAGGCTTAGTAGTACTGCCTATATCAAAGTCCTTTCCTCTCCTCTGGTTGGACCCTGCCACTGGGGAGCCCTGATAGGAAGTTTAAGGAACAGAAGAGTTTCCCTTCTTTACAGAGTAGTCTATGGATGGCTATGCCTCATGACCAAAGAACTCACATTTTCTCAAGGTGGCACTTGGGATAGTTTTTCTTTCTAAGCTCTGATAATCTTTCATTTCTCTTTTTAAGCTAAAAGAGGCTATTCTGTTGTTACAAGCTCTAGGGTATTTGTACTAAGCCATCACAAATTGCTTGTACCTTGACCAAAGCTTTGTAAATCATTCCTTTATTAACTTCTCCTTCTAATTGAGTATGATACCTGTTTTCTGCTGGGTCTCAGGTACAGTAATTGTACCAGAAGTAGCCTAAAGAAACAGACTCTCAATATAAAATGTAGGATGTGGATTGTTTATATATTCAAGAAACACAGCAATAATAGGGCATAGCAAATCTATGGGATAAAGTAACATCCTACTTTTTCAATCTATCCTCAATGGTAGCATGGGATGAAACTCAGATGAAGGCAAGGTGTTAAGAGATCAAATGGCTGTGATGCTAAGTTGCAAGACAACAATAGTTATAAGAATTACAATTATCTATATTCCTACAAGGCTCCAGATAAAGAGCAAACGGGGGAAATCATAAATTATGAATGCACAGTTAAAAACATATTTGGGTAGCCTGATGTCCTCCTTGACAGTTTTGAAGGAGTCCTTCCTTTCTTGCAGCCACAAGGCAGCTATGCTGGAGGGCAAAGCTGACGCCTGACGTGAGGTCTATAAAAGTGCAGTGTAAATTAAAAATTTAAGCCTTTCAGGTTTCTTTCACTACAAATAGGGAAGGAATAGGAGTCTGAGAACTGAGATGATATTTTGCCAGATGTAGTGGAGGCCTCTCTGTTTCCTGTTGAGGCACCCCTTTTTATTAAATAGTACCCATTTTGAAGAAAAAAAAACCCTCCAGTGACTCAGAACTTGAAGGCTATTTTCCTCAGAACTCACGTCCACCATCTTCATTGCCTCTAGCTCTAAAATGGGAGCGAAGGTCTCAACACCACTGGTGCAGTGAAGGTGTTTAGAGCCAGGCAGGTAAAAAGTCATGACTGGTGATTTATTTGATTGAGAAAGATGCAACTACTTGGGGTTTACAACTTGATGAAAACAACAGATGACATTAATAATTGACTGAATAAAGGTGTGGATTCTGCAAAAGCTTCTGTAATGATGCTAAAATGTGGAGCTTCTCTATAGAAGAAAAAGTTCATAGGATTGGGGGAAAGCAATGGTGGAATGAATATATTAAGTGCAATCGTCTGATACCACTTAGGAAAACATTATATGACATGTAACAGGAACACTAAAAGTAATAGTAGGTGGTGATGCAAGGAAACTGGGTTCCCTGACCTCACTGGGTATAATGGAATCCTGAGATGATAAGTCAGGTGATAGCAGTCCTCAGAAACTGGATGAAGGCAATCACCACTTTAAACTACTGGGCAGAGCACTGATCAATGTTTTGAGCCAAAAGAGGTTGGCAATGATGGCTGATTGCAAAAATCTATATATATATAGAACAAAACAGAAGAAAGATTCTTATCCTGCTGGGTGGAAACGAAGGCAAGGTGCCATAGCTGGCATTTATGGCTGGTTCCCAGCTCCCGGAGTTGAGCCACTTCATAGACCTGGTGTCCCTGCTTTAGGAGAGGCATTGCTACAGATGTCTACTGGAAAATTTCCCCCAAGCCTTTTTGGAATGGATATTTGCCAGGCAGCTCATGTACTAAGGAATGGGAAATATTTAGATATTCTGGGAGTGGGTGCTAGATAATGTTTCTGAACCGATTCTAAAACTCCACTGTGAGCCGCCAGGCAGAGTCGAGGGTTCTGGGGTCAAGTGGGAGGTGAGGGTCCAGAGGGGTAGCAGACCCTCCTAAAGGGGGATCCTCCCCTTGCACTCTTAAAGTGGCCAAGTATGTGCAATGTTCAGGTTTCCTCCCTTCAAGAGAACATGCTATGGGGAACATAGTTAACTGAAGAAGCTAAGAAAACCATTGAAAAGCAGACCTGACCTATAAGAAATGACAAGTGACTGAAAGAAAAATATCCCAGATAAACACACAAAATTGCACACACAAAAAAGAAATGAACACCTTAGAAAGTAGACAAGTAACTATGAAAACCAACCAAGGTTCTAGAATAGAAATTATAATACTGAAAATCATATAAAATGGAAAATATACTAGATGGTTTCAATAGTGAATTAGATCCTGAAGAAATAAAGAAATAAATAGCAGCAATCTTACACAAAAAAATAAAGGTCTAGAAAAGAAAGGACACTTCCAAAATTAATCTACTCAATTAGTATAACCTTAACACCAAACAAAAAATAAAGAGGGATTACAGGCCAATATTTGAAAAACATAGAGACAAAAATTATAACAATACAATATACTGGTAAAGTAAAAATTAGCGCTATATATAAAAGGCAATATATATGACCAAATGGATTTATTCTAGGAATTCAATATCAGTTTAAGTTTTTAAAAAATGTGATTTACCACTGTTATGGTTTTTTTTTTTTTTGCAAGGGAAACAATATAATACAGGACACCGAGTTTATAAGATTATTTATAATAGTCACCCAAGGAATGATACACAAAAGAGTGCAGGAAATCTGTCCACAGACTAAGACCAAAAAATCTAGCCAAAGGTCTAGATCTCACGGAAATGTCCTGCATGAGTACAGCTGAAGACCTAGAACTCATAACAATGTCTCCCATAAATCCAACTGGAGGCCCAGAGCCCATAATATCTCATGCAGGCTGGTTTCACTGATCTATGCTGGGAAGACCCAAAGGTCAGTGGTAGAATCTAGGAAGTCTATGCCAGTGGGATGAAGAATCTGTGCTAGCAGGCTGAGGGGGTCTACACTGGAGCCAGGAAGCAATGTGCAAAGTAAGAACCAGCGCACACTTACAATGTGCAAAGTAAGAACCTGAAAAATGCCACAGCCACCCTCAGCAACAGTGAGGTCCTGAGCTCCTCCAATGGTGAAGACAGCTGAATTCCCATCAAGGAAGCCAACGTAGCAAGCTTCTCTAGGAGACTGGAAGTGTACCATCTTCCCCTCCAGGGCCAGGAAACAGTGCTCAAAGTGAGGACCAGAGCTCCCCCAAAGTGAACTGAAGCTATTCTCAGCGCAAACAAGGTCCTGAGCTCCTCGGAGGATGAAAACAGCCAAGTTCATTAGGAAAGCCAGCATGATGAGCTCCTCCAACAAAACCAACAGCTCCTCACAGCTGCCACCAGCTCCCAACAGCTTTTCTCTGCTCCCAACAGCCTAACTTCTTCTTCTCCAGTTCTGCCTCTTATACGGCTGGCAACAATCCTCAGGTGTCTCCCACACCCAGCACCACAGTTACTCAGTTCAGCTGGGGGTTATAAGTTGACCACCAGTTGTCAGTCCTCTACAACCATATTAACAACAAAAAAGAAATTGATATAGACTATCTGAATCAAATCAATTGGTATATAAATGTCAATTAGAAATTGAAATAAAAATTAACACAGAAAAATCTAGAAGGGATTTTCTTTACTCAGACAAAAAGCTTCTATAAAATATTGGTAATACTATAATGGTGATGTATGGAATTCTTTCCCTAAGTTTCATTCTAACACTAAGAGAAGAAAGTTCATTACCATATCTATTCAATGGTATAGCATTTGTTTAAATGAATGTAATAAGAAACAAGGAAACGATTGGAAAGGAAAAAAATGTGTCATTATTAATAACTCATGTGATACATAGAATCTGTATTACAGGTACTAGAATGGGTAAATTTAGCAAGTAATAACGCTGTCATACATAAAAGGCAACTGTATTTTGTTGTTTTGTTTTATTGTTTGTTTCTTTGGGACTGGGGATTGAATTTACCTCCTCCATGTGCCCTTTCTATAAAAAAAAAAAATTTGAGACAGGTATTCCTAAGTCTCTAAATTGCCCAAACTGGGCTCCAATTTGCAATCTTCCTGTCCCAGACTCCCAGAGTACTGGGATCACAGGTATGTACCATCATTCCAGGCTCAACTGTATTTTTATATGCCAGCATCAAACAAAAAAGAATGATATTTATAAACAATACCATTTGCAGTAGCACCAAAAATCATCTATCAAATA